GGAATGAATTATTAACCCGGCGAGAGATCTGGGACCTAAGTTTAGCTGGGTCAATTTTGGGCTGCGAGGGCATGAACCCATTTTTTCCATGCCTATGAGATGTTATTTCTAAGTACCAATGTTCCCTTGAATTTTGTCATGCCTAAATATATAAAATTTTCCCTCTCTCATTAATCCTCAGACTGGATGCGATTTTTACGCTCGGTAGGCATGTTCAACTGAAAATCATGCCCATACCCTTATTCAAAACAAAATGCTATCAAATTTTAGTTTCCAAGCCGTTCTGCAGCAGCAAAAGTCCTCTACAAAATGCACACAAACCATCCCCCATGCAGATCATCGTGTTATGCTTCCTTGACCTCGTATAGCTTGCTGTTACCAGCATTTGCGTCTGGATACCTTCTCTATTGGACGGCTACAAGTGCCGACTCCCAGCCTGCCATTGAGATAAGTATTGTCAAGGAATTCAAGGGCCCAGTCACTGTTCACGTAAGTATGCCCTCTCCTGACAAAATGGAGTACAAACTTTTCCGAAGAAAGGGGGCATAAATAAGCCTCAAATAAGAGCTAAAAACAAGGATTGACCTTTCTCGTTTTCAATTTCATCAGATTACCTTTTATTACCTCGTCTTCTGAGCATTTCCATCCCGAGAACCGTAAATCAATGAACATTAGTTTTTCCTTCCATTTCGACATCATTTAAAAACGTAAAATTTAAACGGAAGGCACTGTGACAGAAATGGACGATCCATTACAAAAGTGACGTTCAGTTAGTGTAACGTTAAATGTAAAAGTTCTCAGTGACCATGCAGTTTAATGACCTTCTCACTCTTGTTGACATGCATACTTCAACTGTGGATCCGGTATCTCCGTTCATTTCTCTTCCTTTGATTCCATATTCTACTTTCATTCGTTTTCATTTTGTGATGTTTCGCTAAGATGCAACCAAATTGGTCACAAACCCTTATTAATTTAACTGTTCGTCTTAATTCAGGCCGGTATTTTACCTACTCTTACAACACCAGCTAAGCGAAATTTTGTGTCATCAGGGTCAGGAGTCAGATAAGCTAATGTTAAAGCCCTGCATGTATCATCAGAGAGTGGGTCAGCCAGATCAAGAATGAATCGAACCTGCGGACACGATTATTATTCGTAAAACGTTAAATAACGAAAGTGACGATTATACACGACCGTCCTCCAGCAAGGTTAACTTGATATTTACGCTTCGCTACAGCTTCTCATCGGGCTTCCGCGGTTGTAAATCACTGGTGTGCAACGAATACAGTTTAGTATTAAAATGTTTCATTGGTTGCAGACGACATCAGACGATTGTAGATACCGAAAGTCATTTAACCACACTGTTTCTGAATGTGTTTTCTACGAGTGTACTGTGCTTCTAGCTCAGTTTTGATAACGAGTACCATGAGCGAAATAAAGGGTCTTACGAACATCTATTTACAATACGACAAGCTACCAAGAACTGTAAAATGCGATGCGCAAGGTTGGAGCTGTGGATCTGATGTCCATATATATAATTCCCTTAAGTTTTAGTTACAAGGTATAATAAGTAGGTTATATCGGGTAATATTTCGCGCTCGTAACTTCGTTTATATCCTTAACTTTACCTTCTCCGGTAAACTGGGAAGTTACCACGGAAATGAGTTCCACTCCGTACTTTGTATAATTTCCCTGAATTAAATATCAAAACATTGTCCCCAGAACTTCCAAAAATCTACACGTTCAAAGTGGCAGGAAGTAAACCACGCAAGACGAAGTGAATTACCGATGAATCGATGAATCTACTGAAGACTTTTGGTATAAGTGATATCCTATCTTCATAAAATTTATTCACTCAAATTTGCTTAAACTGTGAGAGGTTTAAACCCAGGAATTATTTCATAAGTAGGACGGAGGAGCATGATTATCCAGGCGAATGTACAATGAGGGACAAAAGTGTTGACACACTTCCGTAAAATGGCCCCTTTTTGCATAGTGGATATATTTATCCCCTTCCTTTGTCTACCCCAACCCCTTGACCCCAAAATCAATGTTGAATTTTGGACCCTCAAGTCTTTTTTTTACTTCAGACAACATTGATTCGGGGGGTCGGGGGATTTACGGCGTTTAAAAGGAATGAAATGATAAATGAATTAAATGTTTCTTAAAAGCACCCGTTTTAAACAAGTGTGTCAACTACTTTTGTCCCTGATTGTAGTTCTGAAGACTGTTGTTGAAAGTGACTGACGTTTGGACAACCTGTGCTATAGTCATCGTCAGAGCCAAAGTTAGTTGTAACTCGTCAATTAGTCTTCGTAGCCAATAACATCACGGCTTAACTGACAGACGACCAATTAACATCGCGACCTTAGTTGACAAATCAAATCAGTAACCTTATTTTAATACCATCAACTGACTCAGAACGATGTTAATAGATCCACACGTAATTACGGTGCGTTTTTATGATGAGGTTGCAAACATCTTGAAACATTCACTTACAATCGACTAATCAAGGAGGGTTTTTAAAACTTTGCTTGACCTTCTTTTTAAAAATGTTGGTTTCTGTTACCTCTCCGACTAACGGTTTTGTTCATCTCCACACAAAAAAGGGCTCATGCATATATATTTTGTTACAAATATAACGGCCTGATACCGACACCGTTTAATCATTCGTCAAAAAAAGTACACTGTATAAGCATGGCAGTTGCAAACCCTACACAAAGAAGTGGTGAAAATCACAAAAAAAATACTTGGAAAGGCAGAATTCGCGAGTTTTATATATTCTGTATAGACGACTGCAACGCCATTTTAATCTCTGGCACGCAGATGTCAAATGCCTGCTCTCAATGTACTGCTACTGCCTCGGATTTAGAGATAATCCACGTCAATAGTTTTCCTTTGAACACTAACCTCTGGTGGCATGAATCCAGTAATACCAAAAAACATCAGCAAGATTTGTAAAGAATTATTAAAATTTAAGTTTCATACTGCCCCAATGGTGTTTTTTTTTTTTAATTATTTCAACCGGATATCACTTCATTCTGACTACGGTATTCTATAAATGGATACTGGACTTTCTAATGACAACTGATCAGCGAAATAAAACAGTAAGGCACAAGACAAAAACTGTTTTTTAGCACAAGCCAATAATAAAAAAAAGCCATGCTCGTGAAACGCGTTTTCCTTTGTGTTTAGGGAAAGCTATTAAAATTGTGTTTCGGTCGTTTTGGTCTTTTCGGTCATCGTGGTCTTCGTTTTGCTTCATTGTGAAGTGAAAAACCAAAAAAATAATGATACTGTTTCTTATAGAGTGATTTAACTTGAACCGTGAAACAGTACAGATACTAAAAAAACAGTGCAAATAAACAACAGGTAAACAAAAGAAGACAATAGATAACAGTGCGAGGTATTCTACTCCCTACTTCACGGGTTAAGTAAAATCACTCTATTAATACTATTTCTACTACTAATACTGATACTGATACTAACAGTATTACAGTTACTACTACTGTCACTACTACTACTACCAATAATAATAATACTAATATTAATAATAGTAATAATAACAATAATATTGATGTTAATAATATTAATGGACAAAAGTTAGCTTGATTCGTCAGCTTGCGATGCGATCTTCGCCCAAGTAACAGCTGTACAGTCACACAACTTTCAAGTCGTTTACGTTAGCGTAAAGGCTGTGGTCATATTGTTTCAAATTGACATATGTCTGGAAAAATAAAACAATAAAAGAAATGTAAAGTTGTAAAAGGCAATTGAGATGGAGGTTACACTCGACCTCAAAAGCAATTCATTTCACCTAATACTCAAACATTGCTTACAGGCAACTTTTATGATTACTGAAGTAAGACAGACAAGTAATCTCTATCTTGGAATCTCTCCGTTCAGATTATCAAGCCAAGACTAAGGACGGCGACACACCAG